ATAGATTGAAGAAGATAATTTCTTTCTTACTTTAAAAAAGAGAGAATTTTCTCTACTTAAGATTTTTATTCTTAATTCTAAGAAAAGATACAGTGAGGGCAAGAAGCTGAAATAGCAGAATTCCCATTGAGGCAAGAGGCCGTTTAAGGGAGCAGTTTTCAGAGCCTGAAGGTCACTCGGTTCTAAGAATACAGATTTAAGATCAAAAGTAAGGTAAAATTATTGTCTTTGTTAAATTTAGAAAGAATTCTTCTAATATCTTGAAAGAATCGTAGGAATTATTACTATTCATGTTTGCAAAAAACTTATCTAAATATGTTATTATTCATAAAGTTTGCAAGGAATTATTTGAATAATGCCAAGTTATACAATTAAAGGATTAGATAATCTGTTAGATAGATTAATGGAAAAAATAGAAAATATTTATTCTCAATTAGAGATTATGGATATATTATCGAAGGAATTTGATAATCTTAGTAAATTACATGACAATTATATTACAGATTATGCTAATTTATTAGATCAAAGGATGAAATTATATATTAAAACTCGAAATGAGAGAAATAGAGGAATTTAAAACTATCCCAATAAATTAAGGATATCTTGTGCAATATATGATAAATTATTTCATAATAGACATTTTATCAAAAATAAATAGTAGCAGGTCATTTATAATAATGCCCCCAAATTACATCACATACACCCTTTTTTTTTTTTAGTAAAATATTCATATTTTACATTACATATTTTTTTTTATTCCATTAATGCTGAATTATAAATAGTAAAAATAATAATTCTTAAATCACATCTCTCCAACTAATAATAAAAATAATAATAATAATAATCGGCATATTTGTCTAATTCCACAAATTTAGCACTTAATTAACCTTCTAAGGCATAATATCCCACTCTAAATGTTATTTCCTTATATTGAACCTCTAATATTTCAAAATTTCCTCGTACGTATCCTCTTCAATTTACATACTAACCTACATAGATTGAATTCTCCGGTGCAAACATACTATTATTTGTCATTGATCCCGCAGAATCCATTAGCGTTTATATCATTGTACAATTGAAGACTGAGTCCCCGTTTGGTCCCTTTTAAAACTCATCAATTTAATTTAACTTTTCTCTCTCCTATTTTCAACAACACAATTTTTAATAAAATAATATTTCACGAAAATCAAAAAACTTTTTATTCTTTTACAATCATCCATTTAAAAAAAAAAAAACTATTAACCCATTATAAATCCAAATAATTAGGGCCAAACTCGGGTTAAATCCTTGATATGGGAATTCCACAAAGAACCCATCTACGTGCAAACTCCAACACGTCAGATGACCTGTTCACTGATTAGAGGCATTTTGCCGATTGTCGAAGTCACTGTTCATGAAAATTCTAGTATAAGCAGTTCTCCTTCATCCCGACTCCAAGAAGAAGCCTCCCAAACGTAAGAAGGTGAAAAGAGGCATATATAAACTACAATTTTCCATTTTCATTTTTTTTTACACAATCTAGTTTATTTGAATAATTCCCAATTTTTAAGAATCATTTAGTGACATCCAACCCATAGTTAGTAAACCATATGTTTTGCCGATTTTGGTGACTAGATTAAAATATTTCTCATGTTTGATTTAGATAACTTGTAGAGATCATCTTTCTTAAAATCTGAAATATATTATATCGTATGATGCTCATTAGATAAGTAAAACTATACATTCACATGATTTTGTTCTATGCAGTTTCACATCCACCTTTAAATATTATACACGTGTTACATTAGAGATTGCACCAAAACTTGCTTTGTTCCCTGTTATCGATTCTAGTTGATTGGACGTGTAACAATACAAAGACACAATTATTGGTTTTCTAAGCGTATCGTGCAATGTTAATTGGTTTTGTAACATTACTATTCTACGAAGTCACATAATGTTAGTTATATTGCGTTTGCATAGCTTTTTTTTTTTTCTTCATTAATTAGGAAGAATGTAAAACATGTTTCTTGTGCTACTATATGCTTCTCACAAGTATTTTGAGCATGCCTCTTTATGTTTTGCTATAATTTCAATGCAAACAATTAGTTATTACGTACTCCCTTTTCAAATGTAACTACTGAATTTACTTTTATGCAAAATTTGGTTCCAAAAATTTTTATCTTTAAAATACAAGTCGAATACGTAGTTAACTGGTAAAAATAGAAAGAATAATCATGGCATTTTCTCCACAATAATTCTCAACTATCTAG